CCTGCAGCGCTGCAGGCCTGTCACTTTAGGTGGCCACAGAGCTCCAGCTTGTTACTTTTAGGCATCCGCAGAGTCCCTAACCTGGATTGGACCACCTTGACTTGTCAGCAAGTTCTCAGTGTTCCACTGATCATTATAAAACGTACCATTATCTATCACTTCAGCATAATTTGCACCAGCCCGGTGGGAAAGGGCCTGGGGGTGCTGGTCAAGAGCAGCTGAACACCAGCCCAGGTGGTCAAGAAACCCAATGACGTCCTGGCCTGTGTCATCCACAGTGTGACAGCAGGGCCAGGGCAGTGACCGTTCCCCCAGCTGGGCACTGCTGAGGCCCCTCCTTGAACCCTGGGGTCAGTTTTGGGCCCCTCGTGACGAGAAAGACATTGAGAGGCTGGAGCGTGTCCAGAGAAGGGGATGGAGCTGGGGAAGGGTCTGGAGCACGAGTGTGATGAGGGGTGGCTGAGGGAGCTGGGGAGGCTCAGCCTGGAGAAAAGGAGGTTCAGGGGGGACCTTCTCACTCTCTACAACTCCCTGACGGGAGGGGGGAGCCGGGTAGGGGGGGATTCTCTTCTCCCAAGTGGTAAGCCACAGGACAAGAAGAAATGGCCTCAAGGTGCTTTAGCTAGGTGTGCTTTAGCTAGGATGTTAGGAAGAATTTCCTCATGGAAAGGGTTTCCAGGCATTGGAACAGACTGCCCAGGGCAGTGATGGAGTCACCATTCCTGGCAGTATTTAAAAGCCATGTAGATGTGGCACTTGGGGACATGGTTCAGTGGTGGGCTTGGCAGTGCTGGGGGAACGGTCAGACTTAGTCTTTACGTCTTAGACTTCAGGTCTTAGACTTTAGGTCTTTGCCAACCTAAAGGATTCTATGATTCTAGTACATAATAACGTTAGAATCCAGTATGCAAGGAGGCTCAGGGCAGCCAAATATGGGATGAGGGGCACGAGAGAAGAGACTGGACTCTGAAGAGCCCCGTCCCTTTGGGATGAGCACCCTGAGAGCCGCCGGGATGTCGCTGAAATGCGAACAGCACACAAAAAAAACCCCATCTCACCCTGCTCCACCGAACCGCTCACACTCCGAACTCGGTTTGAGCGACACCTCTTAAAAGCTGCAGGGCTAAAAAAAAAAAAAAGAAAACAACTGGCTAAGACCGTATTCCCGTTATCCCGGGCTGTGGGGATGTAAAACTGCGGATAGCGGGTGCAGGGATGCAGCAGGGCCGGGCAGTGGCAGACCTGTTCCCACGCTGCAGGTGCTCCTGGCGGGGCCGGAGGAGGGACCGGGAGGAGGGATCGGGAGGAAGGACCGGGAGGAGGGAGCGGGAGGAGGGATCGGGAGGAGGGACCGGGAGGAGGGATCGGGAGGAGGGACCGGGAGGAGGGATCGGGAGCGCCGGCACCGCCCCGGAAGCGGCCGGGAAGGAAGGCGGCGGGTCTGCCATGGGCCGGGCAGTGACCGTGGCCACCTGTGCCCTCAACCAGTGGGCTCTGGACTTTGAGGGCAACCTGGAGAGGATTGTCAGAAGTGAGTGAGTGAGGTGGTGGCGGCGGCATCTGCCGAGTTCCCTGGCTGCCCTCCTTCCTTCCCTCCCTCTCTCCCTCCTTCCCCCTCTCCCTGCTTTCCTCCCTCCCTCCCTCCCTCCCTCCCTGCCTCCCTCACGTTTCCCGTGCCTGTCCTGGAGCCCCGGGCAGGGCCGGGCTTTACCCCCCCGCTCTTCCAGGTATCGCCATCGCCAGGAGCAAAGGAGCGCGGTACCGGCTCGGCCCAGAGCTCGAGATCTGGTAAGAGCGCCTTGTTGGCTCGCTGAGTTCCCGGTTAATCGTGGAAAAACAGAGTAGGAAAACCAGCCCCGCATCTCCGCAGTGCCCGAAGCTCAGTAAATACTTCAAGCGTGCGGCTGTTGGCGCTGAGAAGAGCGCTGTGGTTGCGAGCGCAGGATTGGTTTGGCTTGGAAACCTGACCGATGCTGGTGATTTTTTTAACCGACTTCGGCGAGTTTCCCTTCGGAGAAAACGTGGCGCTTTGAATTCTGCCTGAACGCTGCCCTTGAAAGGAATGTCATGGGGCGATATAAAACGCCGGGGGGTTTTAAATGCTGTCAGTAGGGATGATGCTGACAGCGCTCCTTATTTTCTGTATAAATTACCTGTGTGGGTGAAATGTTCACAGTCTGAAGTGGTTCTGGTTCTTCACCTCTGGTGCTGATTTGGCTGAATTTTTGATCTCTTAATGTTTTTGTACGCAGTGGTTACGGCTGCTCGGATCACTATTATGAGTCTGACACACTCCTGCATTCCTTTCAAGTTCTGGAAAAGCTTTTGGAGTCTCCAGCTACTCAAGATATTATCTGTGATGTGGGAATGTAAGTTTCGGGGGTTTTTTGTGTACATGTGATAAAGGGGTAGGTCTTCAGGGAATGCTGCCTCTGCCGTGTTTCTGGATAGCGAGGGCTCTGCACCAAACTTTCAAATGCATCTTAGGAACTGCACTACCTTCCCTCTTAATTACCGTGAGTAGGACTGCAACATGTGAAACAGTTTCTGAAAGATGATCCTTTTAAAGATTTCGGGTGGTTGAGCCCTTCAGGAGACAAATAGGATATTTGTTATTTATTTGGAACCCTAACAGCTGGGCCCAGCTCAGATTTTGTGTTGGATGTAGCACCAAGGGCTTTATAAATTGACTGTCTTTTAGGAATGCTGGGGCTCAGGTGACTTGCTTTGACTGACAGACATCTTTAAGCAACCTAAGTGTGTGTCAAAATCACCGAAACCATTGTAAGTCATGTGCTGACAGTGACCAGTGATAAATTATAACTGTAAAATTAACACGTACACCGAGGTGTTAGTATTGATTTAAATGTGTAATTGGTTTTGAACTGGCTGGTGGTATCATGGGAGGTCAGGTTTGACTAAATAAGTTGGCCCAGCCAAGGGGACTCTTCTGGTCTGCTTGTGTTCCTAAGGCATGCCACTGCTTGGGTAGTAGTTGACACATCTGAGACTGGCAGGATAGTCAGTAACTCTGATTTATTTTTTTTTTCAAACAACTACTTGAATTAAAAAAATTAGAAGCTAAAACTTGATATATTGTTTTGCTTAATTCCTTTTAGTGAGGTCTTAAAAATAGTTTTTGTGCAGTGAAGTAGATTCTGTAGCTTTTTTAATTTCATTTAATGAAATTAGTCACTGCCAACTGCTTCTTCTTTTCACAGGCCTGTTCTGCACAGAAATGTTCGCTACAACTGTCGGGTGATCTTTCTAAATAAGTAAGTTTTTTACATGTTTTGTGGGATAACACTTTAATGTATCCTTTCAGACAGCTATTTGGCCTTCAAGAAGGATTCTTCAGTGCTATGTACACTGATGGAGTTTATCTACTAAATTTTGAGAGAGAATTAATGTTTTTCGCTATCTCTTTTTTTTTTCTGGATTTGTAGAAACTAAATTCTCACTGGTTCTTGAAAGACTTAAGAAAAACCCCTTGAGTCTGCAAACAGAAAATTGAAAAGTGTTTGCATGTAGTAATTGTTCAATGTACATCATAATAGGAAAAAAAAAAGAGTTGATCTCAACCAGTGTTCATATATAGCCTCGTTTGGCTGTACATCAGTTCTTAACTTGCCCTTCCTGTTTTGTTTTGTGATTTAAGGAAAATTCTTCTGATCAGACCAAAAATAGCATTGGCAAATGCAGGAAACTACAGGGAACTCAGGTGGTTCACCCCGTGGAGCAAAGCAAGGTATGCTGGTGACTGTTAAAACTGTGTTTAAAAACACAGCTGTTTGAAGCTGCAGCAGCAGAATTGAAATCTCTGCAGCAAATAATGGTCTATATTTTATAGGTCTAGTTTCTAGCTAGGATGTTTACCATGCATTTCTGAAGCAAAGAGCTATAAGTTGCAGACTTATAATCTTAACATTTCTGATTTATTTAACTGCAATAAATACTTTAAATATTTTTTTTAATTTAAAAATCTTTTTTATTATTTAAATATCTTTTTTTTATTTTTAAACACATAGAACCCTGTGCAACTTCAGTACAGTTTCTTTAATCAGTGTTAGAAGGTGTCAGAATGTGGAGTAAGTGTTTATGCTGTGATTTACCTAATGCATTCACAATCTATAAACTTGCTTTAGGCACGTGGAGGAATATTTTCTACCCAGGATAATTCAGGAAGTGACTGGACAGGTAAGTTGCTTTTTTTTAACTTTAGTGTCTCCCACAGTCAGCAATTAAAAACTGCAACACATCAAATTCTGCTGCCAGTCATGTTGCAAATTCATAGGTTTCAGTAGTTCTCAGTTACATTTAATGAGAGCATAATTTAACCTTTTGTATGTTAGTATGTGGCAACAAAGCAAGCAAATTTAAAATCAGCCTCAGTAATTTGTGTATACAGGACCTTGATTTTCTTATTTTGCACAATTCTGGTACTGCATTTATCTGTGCTTGAGACTGGAACTGGGTATGTGTTTTTAGCTAAAAGAGATAAAACTAAAAAAATCATTTGGCCTTCTTGATTCAGAAGGATCTAAAATTTAGGGTATTTTCCACTTAAGCAGGAATGTGATTCACAGCATGAGGCGGTCTCTGTTTTGTAGATAGAAGCAAAGCACTGGATCTGGATACTACTGAAATTTCAACATAAAATCCCAGTCAATCCAGAAATTTGCAATTTAGGGTTGTTTTTTTTTTATTAAACTTGGTACAAAAAGAATGAAGGTGTAATGTGATTGATATTGTGTCATTCATTTTGCATGGGTATTCAATTTTTATATTTTTTTAAGATTTGTAGTTAACTTTTTGAACTGAATAGATTCTTCTACTACATGTGTATAAGAATGTTCTTGTTTCTTCCCAGGAAACTGTTCCTTTTGGGGATGCAGTGCTAGCAACCAAAGATACCTGCCTAGGGGCAGAAATGTGTGAAGAACTCTGGACACCAAATAGGTAAAAGGGGAAAAGGAAATGAAAAATAAACTAAAACATACCCTGGGCCTGCCTGAAATAAATGTTTGAAAAGATCTGCTTATTATTCTTCTATGTGATTGATCTTTCAGAAAGTGACAGTAAGCTAAAATATAATTAGGAGCAATGGGAAAGATCTCACTAGGCTCGGTGCAGGATGGCCAAGAAATGTGAGTGGTTAAGCTAAATTAATTAGAAACAGAGGGCAGGAGAGAGATACAAAAAGAACCAGAATGAAAGAAGTGACCTGAGGAAACAAATGACAGACAAACTGTAGTGCTCACAATCCAGACACTGTTCAGCTTTTAGCTCAGCCTGAGGCTGAAATGTCCTCCCTGGATCTGTCTCTGTAACTTGATCCAGGCTCAAAGGTATTTTGTATCAATTTTTAGTATGGATTTTGTCCAGCAATCATAACTTTGTATGATTCCTACTCACTGTACATAGTCTCAGAATTTTGAGATTAAGTCTTTTAATTACTTTATTCCTGTTAGCTTTGGATTTGACCAACTTCTCTAAGCCACTCCTCTTAACAGACAAATTGAGCTCTCTTCTATTTGACAAGGCAGAGCACAGACTTCTAGGCAGCATCACTTTGAGATGTCTCCCTTTTCTTAAAAATTCAGCTGTTAGCTTAGTCCTGGCTGCTTTCTTTTTTAACCAGCATCACACAGTGCATAAAGAAGCAACAAAAAGTCACTAAGGAAAAGCAAAGCCTATTAACCTAAGTAATATTTCCTGTTATTATTTTAGTTCCTGTTACAGTTTGAAGTTCTTCCTAATGACAAAGAAGATCCCTTTCACAAAGGGGTGGAGTAGAGATGTGGCACCATGAAAGCTGTTTACAAAATAAACAAATTATTCCTGATATATTTCCAAATCTCACATTAATTTCCTTGTAACTGCAGAAGGTGTGGTTTGTCAAAAATGTGATTTTTTTTTTTTTTTTAGTATTCCTTTCTTAGGACATTGTCAAAAAAAAAAAAAAGGCAGCAAAAAATCTCCTTTTTGTGGTTCTGTTTTTGGATTTATTAAGAGACAAGGAAAATGGTCCCACAACTGACCTTGCCCTGTGTATCCACGTTGCTTTGACAGCCCTCATATTGACATGGGACTTGATGGTGTGGAAATCTTCACCAACTCTTCTGGGAGTCACCACGTGCTGCGAAAGGCTCACACCCGAGTGGATTTGGTGAATTCTGCCACAGCAAAGGTATTCATTTTAATATCCAAAAAAGGTTATGCACCTCTTTTTTTTTTTTTCAGAATAGTCTCCTCTCCTGTGGCAGGATGTAGAAAGAATGTGGGGGCCCTGACAGTCAACATATAAAAATCATCCAAAAAGTCTGTTTCATTTCCTGAAAATGGCGGTTTCTTTCCCAATTTTCATTCAGATAGCAACGTTGTGTTGGGGAAATATCATTAACTATATCAGGAAGGGGAAATAAAAATCAGTGTTTAAACTCAGCCTTAATTTTTCCTCTGTTATCTTCTTACTTAAAAAAATATTTTTCTGCTTCGGAGGTTCTGTTTGTTTTAAAGAAAAGAAGACATCAAGTAATTGGACTGTAATCCTAGCTGATAGTGATGGGGACAAAAATAAAGCAATGAGTGTACATTACACTGTGAAAAATGTGCAGCTGCTTGGTCATTGTAATTTAACAGGCTTTGGTTATATTTAACAGTATCTGCTCTGTCCTCAGATATCCAAACACAGCTTCTGTCATCATTTTCTCGCTTTTCTTAATCTCAATTTGAGCTTAGAATTTCAGTTTGGAAGTTCTGCCCTCTCTGTTTGGGCTATTCTTGCTGCTAATAGAAGACTTTCAACGCTGTGAAAGGGACAGAGCTCACTCACTGCATTTACTCCATGTCATTACTTGTTTCTGTCATGCATATCACATGCCAAAAAAACCAAAGGGAGAGCCCCAGCCTTAAATCATTTACAAGGTACAAAGAAGACTGTAAGAAGGGCAGGAACAGAGATAACATTTTGCCTTTTAACATCCTGTCAGGTGCTGTGTTCTGAGCAGCATTTTTCCTTGTTTCCTGCATGTTTCCTCCCCAGAATGGTGGAATATACATTTTCGCAAACCAGAAGGGCTGCGATGGTGATCGGCTGTATTATGATGGCTGTGCCATGATTTCCATGAATGGAGAAACAGTTGCACAAGGATCCCAGTTCTCACTGGATGATGTGGTAATACATTCACCCCAGAGCAGCTAGTTACAGCTGAAATTAGGAAGGCTGCATTGATGCTCAACACATGGTGAACACTCAGTGTTCCAGACGTTCCAGACACTGGGTCCAGGTCCCTAGACTAAAAAATGACGTATTTTAACTATGCTATTCAACTGGATCCAAGCTTTTTTCTTAGTCAGTTTGCCCAGATCTGATCTGCAGTAGCTCTCCTGCTTTTGTGTCGGAGGAAGAGCTGTCACAGTGGAAGAACTTCATGAAAACGTTTTTGTGTACAATCACTAGGTGGGGGAGAGACCCTGTTAACTTACAGTCCCTTATCTAAAGAAAAAAAGTGCAATGGTCTCAGTGTTCTAATTATAACCCAGTTTTGAGACAAAAGGTTTCATAGGTTGAGCTCTACTTCAGAAAGCGCCTTCTCAGTAGATTTGTCAACAAAATTGCAGATTTCCTCACATTATGTTTCAAATCCATCTCTTTCCCCAGTGTGCTTCTTGCCTTGTCCTTTGCCACAGCTTCTGGTGGACCTTTTGTTCAGCCATCTGACAAGAGCCATAAATTTGTTGTGGTTTGTGGGTGGGTCGGTCGTGCTCCCTCTTTAATCTAAGTAATTCTGCTGAGCCAGAGATGACCCGTGGAGTGAGCATAAAAATCCGTACGGAAAATTTCCCCGACTTTTTTTTTTATTATAGTCCTGGCCTGCCAAGCATTGTTCATGTGTTTGTGTGGAAGGATCTGACATTGAAAGCCTTTCCACAGGAGGTGCTGGTTGCCACTCTGGACTTGGAGGACGTCCGAAGTTACAGAGCAGAGATTTCATCCCGTAACCTGGCGGTAAGAATCCTTTAGGGAGGTTGTGTTGGTAAACTCTGCCAAGTTTGAATAGCTAACTGAATTTAAAAACTGTTTGCATGTCTTGATTTTTCACGATGTTCTGTGGATCTGATGTTTTATAGGTATATGCTGCTTTAAAATTGATATCTTATGAATTCTTCTGTACTGTTGCTTAGGCAAGTAAAGCAAATCCTTATCCCAGGGTGAAAGTGAATTTTGCTCTGTCGTGTCCTGATGATGTAGCTGTACCTACCTGTATGCCAATCCAGTGGAGATATCATAGTCCTGAGGAGGAGATCAGGTAAACATACACTGAATCTCTTGCTTGAAAATTATTTTGATTTAAAAAAAACCAAAAGTCAAACAAACCAAAGAAAGAGATAATCATAAGATGTTACTTAGATTTAAGTAAAGAAAGTGTCTCATTGGAAGACCACAGGAAGTATGTTGACTTGCTTAGGTATTATTCCACAACCCTCTTAGAATAATCCTGTTCTGTAATTTCAGCCTTGGACCTGCATGTTGGCTTTGGGACTATTTAAGGCGCAGCAAACAGGTAAAATAATTGGTTTTGTTCTTTGCCTTGGTTACACATCATCTTCTGTGCCACAGGGACAGGGCACATTGCAATCCTGTGCAGCTGGGAATGCAAAGGGATGTTAGTCCAAGGTTCAAGGTTAGAGTTTTTCACTGGTAGCTCATTCAGACTTAAAAATTGTATTCCAAATGTGACTTCAGTGTGCTCTTTGCACCTTTCCCTTAGGAATCGTGCTTTTCTTTGCAAGTCAAGCTTACCTAACAAAGGGGATTTCTTCTTACTGTTTTTCAGTAAGGAAAATATTGGAATGGTATAATGGTTATTAGCTCTTCTTTCTTACTAGAGGGTAAAGACTTACTGGAAGTTTTTCTAGCCAAAGGATTTACACTGACTACTTGTTTTGTTATCCAGTTGAGGAGAGTTTATTTTGCTTTTCCCCAGTAGAATATAAACAACTCGAACAATGCCCCTGTCATTCTTTTACTACAAGACGTGTTTCTAAATGGTACAGTGTATTTTTTTTTTTCTGATTTTGCTACATGGAACATCTTCCTTGCTCTATTTTCAAGGCAGGATTTCTCCTACCTCTTAGTGGTGGAATCGACAGCTCTGCTACAGCCTGCATAGTGTATTCCATGTGTCACCAGGTTTGCCTGGCAGTCAAGAATGGAAGTAAGTAGATCTGTGTGTCTGGCCAGCCATGCTCACTAATGGTTACAGACAAGTTAATATTATCTGGGTGTAGTAGATGCAAGAGGTCATCGTTGGCAGACTCCTTCCCAGTTGTTCCAATGGAGTCCTTTGCATCCCCTCTGAAATTCCAAGCAAAAAACCGATGTGCAGGTTCAGATTTTTTGAATTAGCTTAGTAGTTTTCATTTGGGGTTTAAGAATTGGATGTGGAACTCAGACTGGTTTCTGTCTGGAGTATTGTTCGTTGCTGATGTAGTTTTGGGATTTCAGTTTATCCTGAAAGTTTTCTCCTTCTGTTAAAATGGGCACTACAAAACATGGTTAGGCATGGTTCAAGCTCTAAAACTGGCTTTAAATAGACTTTTTGCATTTAACTAAGCCTTTGTACATATTGGGTTATGTTTTCTACGAAGATTCTTTAACAGATCAAAAGGATTTAATATTTCCGTGTCCAAAATCAGAAGCAAACCCAGTAATTCTTTTATTGGATACCTGAAGTTTTGTCTGGGGAGTTAGACGATGGAATCATCTTATCTGGTGTGAAGCTTGACTGGAATACAAGGAAGGTACAAGGTATTTGCACATCCTGGGTAGCAGGAGTGCAACAATTTGCCCTCTTGTTGTGTTCCTTTGCCCTGCCCTCAGATGCAGATGTGCTGGCTGATGCCCGAAGGATTGTCCACGACGAGACCTACATCCCTGAGGATCCTCGGGAGTTCTGCAAGCGTGTCTTTACCACGTGCTACATGGCCAGTGAGAATTCCTCCCAGGACACCTGCCACAGGGCAAAACTTCTGGCTGAGCAAATAGGCAGGTACAAGCTGGGGGAAAAAAAAAAACCAAAACAACACGTGTTCTGGCGAAGACTTTCATCTCAAACTTGCAAATTCTAAAATGGGAAAAAATAAGAGGAATAGGAGGTGTGTTAAGTAGGATTACTACAGATATTATTTAAGTGTTAATGTGAGGCAAACTTAGAAGTGTTTGGCAAAGCACAGCCTCTGGAAAGTGTTGTTCTTTCCTAAATTTCTTCCTACCAGATCTGGCAGCCTTAAAACATCACATGATGGGTGGGTTTTTTTGCTTTTTAATGCTATTTTATGTAGCCAGATTGTGCTGGTTGAGTCACTTCTGCTTGAATTCTTCTCAGCTATCACATCAACCTGAACATAGATGTGGCTGTGAAAGCTGTTGTGGGAATTTTCAGCATGGTGACAGGTCGAACTCCCCGATTTTCTGTCTACGGAGGGAGCAGCAGAGAAAGCTTAGCACTGCAGAATGTGCAGGTGTGTGGAGGCTGGATCAGGTCAGACCCTCTTGGTTGTGGTTTGTTTTTTTTTTTAGAGTACAAAATGGTAAAATACCAACCTGAACTTGTGGTATGTCCCTGAAGATTCGTGGGCTTCCCAGTAAATAAATGCTTGTCTGCAGCAGAAATCTACAGTCTCACATAATTCAGGAGGAGACCAGTTGTTTATGCCTTCTGTAGGAGGGTCAGGAAGGAAGAGTATCTGCCTGTATCCCATCAACAGCACTGGTCTAGGTGCCTTTTAGAAAAGCATCCCAACAGACAGTTGCCAGGTCAGGAAAACAAGCAGCAAAGTATCTCAACAGGCAAGTGTGAGTCCAGCAGGATTGTGGCAGGTCAAGACCCAAAAATACTGCTGCTGTACACTTTCCCCTGGTGAATGTTGGCAGCCTCTGAAAGTCTCTGAGGGAGATATCAAGCTTACCCATTTCAATTCCTAGATGTCCTCGATTTTAGAAAGTAGAAGAGAATATTTTAATTTTTTTTTCTTTTTTTTTTAACATCAGGAGGTACTTAATCTTCATTAGGCTTATTTTGGCCTATTCTAAAAAGCTTCCAATCCAACCAGCAACTCAGCTGGATGTTGGTCATCCTATTTGGTAGTTTTCTGTTAGTTTGAGGACTTGATCTTTCTCCCCTCTATTACTGGAGAAATCCATCTGTCTCCTCTGGAAGCAAACATTGGATCTTTGATCAGCTCTTTGGATAGGCTTTAGTCACAGAGTGTCATGATTTGCTTAACACCACAGTTGTGGCTGGAGCTGGAGGCTGGATCCCAGGTTGGTTTGGTATTATTACCATCCTTGGAAAAAGCTGAATTTCAGAAAGGGGACAAAAAAGCAAAGTGAATTTGTTACAAATGTCACGTATTTGAATAAAGGGATTTATTTACTCCGTAAAAGTGGACAGGGTGGTAGACAGATGGTTTGTCTGCACACTTCATCCCTTGTGGATCCTTGTAGGAGGTAGAAAATGGCAACTGCTCCCCGTTCTGCAGTTCAGAGCAGAACAAACTTGCTCAGTCGTGGAAGTCTGTGGCAGTGACAGATACTGAACCTGGCTTTACTAAATGTGTTCAGCATCTTCTCCACAAGACTGCTGTTCATGCAGTACCACCCCTCACATTTTGTTCTTTATGGGGTTTTTTTAGGGAACTGATTAATAAAAGGGACTGGGGAGAAATTAACTCTGCTTTGTAAACTTGATTTCTCTTTCATTTTGCTTTGCAGGCTAGAATAAGAATGGTCCTTGCCTACCTGTTTGCTCAGCTGACACTGTGGGCTCGTGGGATGCCAGGGGGGCTGCTGGTGCTGGGATCTGCCAATGTGGATGAAAGGTGGGTGAAAATTAGAAATCTAAACCCAGGTCACTGCATTTCCTGGCAACTTTACCAAATTCAAGTGTAGGTTATTACTCAGAAGAGGTAAAAAACCTAAGAATATACTGATAACAGTGAAATTAGTTGAAATAGTAGAATCATCCTGAATGGAAAATTGTTTGTTTTTCAGAAGTTTAACCAAAGTATTGCTATAGCTTTCCAATAATATGCTGTTTTCAGTAGAGCTTGCCCTGTGCATTCACTAGGTTAACTTCACAATTTGTGGCATTTTCAATTACTGAATTAGGAATTTAGATGTGAACTTTGAGTTGAAAAATAGATTTTAAAATCTGGAGTTATTAGAGCTGAGTATTTGAAGATTAAAGCAATCCCTGTATGACTGTGGGATTGTTAACCTCTAAAGCTGTGAGAGTACTGTGTGCTGGTTCTGTGGGTGGTTTGGGATTTATTTTGTTAATTAGCGTGGTATTTGCATCAGATATATTGCCTTAGCCTGGGCAGTTTGGCAGTGCTTCATAATTGTTTAAAATATCTTCTGCAGGCAGTTCCATGGCTTTAGGGTAGCCCTGTTGCAGCTGAACATGTTTGCCCTTTAGGTGTAAATACATTAGCAATGTGCAGTCTGTTCCTCCCTTTCTTTCTTCAGCATATAAATTCCTATTTATATGGTATAAATGATTACATGTTATACTACAGCTGCATTATTATTTCCAATGCCAATATAAAATTCCCTCTCTGGCTCAGTCTCCGGGGCTACCTGACCAAGTACGACTGCTCCAGCGCTGACATCAATCCCATTGGTGGCATCAGCAAGACTGATTTGAAGAACTTCATCCAGTATTGCATTGAAAACTTCCAGCTCACAGCCCTCAGAAGGTGAGCAGTGGTTCCCTGGCTGTGTTTGCCTGCAGCATATTTTGGGCTTTAGGCTCTGGTTTTCTCTGCTGCCAGAGCTAAGCTGCACTAATACTTCCAGTGCTAACCAAGTATTCTGCACATCTCTCTGTTCTGAAATGTGTGGGCTTGCACAACCCTGTGCAAGCATTTGTGGGGTTAATGCCACTGAAGGACCTGTTTGAACCAGATGCTTTGTTTTTTAAACCTGGACTAGCTTGCAGGTACCACTTCTTTAGTTATCTAATCCTTTAGCAGCTTATGCCCTGAAAAAGTTCTGAATAGAGCATTTGATTTTTTTTTTTAACAAACCAGACTGTTTTGTTAACTGACACTCATAAGACTGGATAGAATTCATGTTTTTCCTTTTACCTTTTCCTTACAGTATCATGTCAGCTCCACCCACTGCAGAGTTAGAGCCCCTGGTGGACGGACAAGTGGCTCAAACTGATGAGGTAATTAATTGCTCCATAAAACTATTAATTATAGTTTCCATAGTTAAGATTTTCAGTGACTTTCTGTGTGTGTGTTTTCAGGCAGATATGGGGATGACATATGCAGAGCTCTCCATCTATGGCAAATTAAGAAAAATTGCAAAGGCTGGACCATACAGTATGTTCTGCAAGCTGATTAATATGTGGAAGGAAGTTTGTACTCCAAGAGAGGTAATATACCAAAAGTAACAACAACAAAAAAATAAAAATAATATAATGGTTTTGCTGAAATAGAGTATGTTTGGAGAAAGGTCAAGTTCCTTTTAACTGAAAGGGTTATTTTCATTATTTTGTGTAGTAGAATATGCTGGAAGAGCTGGTCTGCATCTCTTAAATGGAGCTCGTTGTCTGTGTTGCAAATTGTTAAAACAGTAATTGGGTAATTCGAAAATAACTGCTTCAGAACTACACCTTCAAGGGAGAATTGTTCTCTGAAATATAGATGGCCAACTAGTCCTGAAGCCTTTGGTTATGTGTTCTGAGACCAAAAAATGGCTCTTGCTCTGGAAGAATATCTACACTGTGTAACGGTAGAACACACTCTCCAAAATACTCTTCTCCTCTAAATCTTTTAAATACTAAGAAACTTCATCTGATTAAGGGCTATGTTCTTTGTACACCAGGTGGCATCCAAGGTCAAGCATTTCTTCAGGATGTATTCAGTTAACAGGCATAAAATGACCACCCTCACTCCTTCCTACCACGCTGAAAACTACAGCCCCGACGACAACAGGTTTGACCTGAGGCCTTTCCTTTACAACACCACCTGGTCCTGGCAGTTCAGGTGTATAGACAAGCAGGTAAATGCCCTCTTATTCTTCAATGGCTTTGTATCTAAAATCCTCACAGTGGGTTGAGCCTGGTTCCAGTGAATCTCCAGCACAAGACCCACGAGTATTTAGGGCAATTTAGTTACCACAAAAATAACTGTGATTGTTGTTCTCACGTAACTGCGAGGCCGAGAATCCTCTGGTTTCAGTGTAGGCTGTTTGGTTTGGGTTTTTTTTTTTTTTAATTGTAATAATGCTATGAAAACAAGAAAAAAAAAGAATATATCTACTGAGGCCAGGAACTAATAAGTGTACCCACACTCATGGAGTCTTGTGCTAGTCAGGACAACAAGCTTATGTGTTTCACTTTCAGTTCAGGACCCGTCTGAAGGGATCTGTCTAATTGCAGAATTAAGACTTGACCTACATCTGCGTGGGGAAAGCCAATAAGAGGCAGCAATTCACTGTGAATGCTTTTCCCACCTGCTTCTGCAACAGTTGCTTTTTTAAACCTCACTTCAGTTGACTCACAAGTGCATATTTGCTCAAACAACAGTAATGGTACCATTCTTAGTTTGAGCACTGTGAGGTGTGGAAGGGCTCAGGCATTTACAAGAACCAAACTTTTTGTAGTTTTTTAACCAACCCTTCAAACTCTTTTTTAATGCCTCTTTTATGGCACAAGTGCTGGGGTGAAGGATTTTAGCACCTTGAAAGTTTTTCTGCCAGAGATTTTACACCCCAGTTGCTTTTAAGAATATGTTTATATATGTAATAAAATATTAATTCCTTCTTCTGTGAAATGCCAGACATGTTGTAATAGTGTTTTATTACCTTGAAACCTGGGATAAAAGCTACCATGTGCAGTACTTTATTGTAGGTCTGTATGGTGGGGTTTTTTTTCCATCATTTTGGACTTTTTCCCACTGAAGTCCAGGACAAAAGTTCTTTTGGCCTCAGTGGGAGTCGGGTAAAATATTTTTGTAGGGTCTGGACCAAAATGTAATTATTTTATGCTTACAGTAAATGTGATTAAGATCTTTTAATGATGCAGGATCTTGTTACACTCTTTAACTAGATTTGTATGTACTAGCAGTTGTGCTGGGCAAGGGTACTGGCTATTGCAACTTATTCCTGAAAACTGGGAGTCAAGCCTGGGGAAGATTTTATTATGCAGGCAACAGTAACCTGAGCTGATAACTCAAGCAGCTTTTTGCAAGACTGGAAAATAATAACTTGCCCTATTCAGGAAAGGCAATGTGGTTTCCTCTTACTGTGTGTGTTCAGCACAATGGTATTTCTGAAGACAGTCACTCTCTAGGACAATCTCTCACTGGGAGTTCTGCTCCTGGGACTTAATCTGCACTTAAGGTTTTTCTGGTGTAGTAACAAGCCTGTGAAAATAAGTCATAAACTCGACATAAACCCCATTACCTTTATTCAGGTAATGCCAGGTTTTCCTGTAGAAGAGTCACGTTACAGGTCGAGCTCATTTGTGAATGGAAACAGCTTGGAGTGCTAATGATGGAGAAACCCTTGGGATTTGTGGAAAGAGTTTTTCTGCTTTGGATGTTTGTAGTGTAGTCAAACCAGTTTAGTTATCTGCTCTTTTTAAGTGCAAAATTCCCTTTGTATTTGCTGCAGAAGGAACATGGGTAAGAGGAAGTTTAGATCAGAGTGTTTGCTGGGAATTGCCAGATATGCCCTTGGAGTCCTAATGTCATTCAGCTCTACCTAACTGAGGGTTCCACCCAGGGGTGAACTTTTCTAGTGGTTTAGAGCACCAGTAGCTGTGTCTGTAGCTTCTACCTTGGAGTTGTGTCTGAAATAAAGGATTCGTGGTTAGAGCACGCACTTTTTACAACTTCTAGATGCCAAAATGTTCATTGGGATTTCAATAGGTGGCATAATTTGGAGGAACAGAGGACAGGTTGCACATCCACCCCCAATGATCGGGTGTCTGCAGGCTGCCTTCTGCTTTTTCCAGTGTTTACTGGTCATTCCACAACGACCAAAAGTTTTATCAGCCTTCTAAAAAACCTGATATTTGCGTGTCTTTCACAACCAGTGGCAGATACTGATGGAGGAACATAAGAACAGGGAATTTATTATATGACTCTCCCTCTATATCCTCAGAGATTTGGGGAATATGGAATAGAATTTTCCAAGAGTGAGAGATAACATGAAGAACATTGTGTTTAGTTTGTGCTCTTGGTCTATTCTCCCTGAGTTTGTAGAATCCTTTCTGAAACAATTTATATTGTTAGCCTTAAGAATAGCTTAGCTTAATAAAGGTAATTCCTTAAGATTTAAGGACAGTGAAGGTCAGTTTTATAGAACTGTGTATGTGAGTATGAAAAGCATTTCCTGTGGTCATGTTAATTATTCTGGGCTCTCTGTTAGGGGCAAGATTCCAGGTTTACAACCTGATCTGCTCTGACAGCTGTCACTGAAAGGGGCAGTCTTGCCTGCCTCCCTGTTTCTTCCAGCTTCTGAGATGGCTTTGGTGCCTGTCTCACTCCTTGGGCAGCCAAATGAAGTCACCAAAGTGACAAAAAACTAGGAGGTGATGGGAGCAGGCAGCCAAAGGGAGGGGTGGGTGGGAAGAAAGCTTCACCTTTTAACTGCAACTAACACCCTGTTCAGCTCAGCTGTGCCCTAGAGTGTATCCCACTGTTGGTTCCTGGTAAATCTGGGCTCCACACTGTTTTGTGATGGAAGTCTGAAAAGACAGGAGACATTAAATGCAAGCTCATTTGAATTGGTTTCCTTTTTTACTTGCAGGTATCCAAACTAGAAAAAAAGGAAGGAATTTCTCCAGTTGAAGATGTGGACTGATTTCCTGTCTTGTTTAACTGTGGTAATTAATTTGCCAAAGCAGAATGTTCCAAACTGGATTATACTGTGATAATGAGCAGCGATGACCCAAACAATTGTTGAGTCCTCTTTTTTTTTTTTTTTAATTGACTCCCTGGTTTATTCCCAATATACTTAAACTATAAATTGGCTAAGGAATCACTTATTAAGGATTTCCTTCAAATACTTAGTTTAAAATATTTGGATAAGCCCATCATAAATAAATAATAAATAAATGCAGGGTAGTCTTTTGTGAAAGTAAATGCACATACACACATGAAGTTTGGTTCTCATAACTGGGATATGATTTTTGAGTAACATTTAGCTGAAAGTAAAATTTTAACAGTTCTGGCATGTGCTGTTGAGGGCAAAAACTCATCTTTGCAATAAACTTGTAATTTTGTCATGCTAATTGACTCAGTTCTTATTTTTCATGGTTTTTATTTATCTAACATTCGCTTTGTAGACTGGTGCAGTGTTTTGAAGGATCACATAAAGTCTAATTCAGCAAGGTGTTGGAAGCATGTCTACCTTGAAGCAGATGGGTAATCTCCTTGTTAGTGGGATCAAAATTAAAGAGTTCAGCTTCTTGTTTTGTTTCAATATTGCAGAATGGAGTATAAAACCAGCTTCCTTCGAGCTCAATTAGAGTGTTACTCACCTTCCACCTCCTGTTTGCAAAAGCTTAAATTTAAACTTCACTGATCTTTTAAATGTGTCCAGTGCCTGAGTCCCTTTTCTGCCTTTTCATTTAATGTTTAGCTGTTTCTGTTTCTTTTTTAAAACTTGTTTTGAAAGGTGCAATTTTAAGAGGGGAAACTAGAAACGTGTTTCTGAAGTTCTGGGTGAACAACACTCAAACAGCAGAAGAGCTCAGACCAAGTGAGACTTCTGTTAAAATGGTCCTGCATTGTGCTGGTGAGAAATGTCTGCTGAAGAGCACCTTCTCCACATTTGTTTTTCATGATCCAGAGTTGATTCACTTGGAGTTAAAGATGCTGCATTGTTTATTGTGGGTTTATTGTATTGTATTAATTTAAATACAGAACTAACTTACCTTAGTGGATGCTGCTGGTGTGAAGAATGTTTGTTTGTCTGGTGAGATGTGCCTTCTCTCCCAGTTAGTTGGGCACTTCCACTTCCCGTTGCAGACAGAGGGAGTGGATGAATTTGGAACAGAACCTCAAGAATTCATTGTATATTTGAAGGCTTCATATTTCTTTTTTTCCTCCTGAAGCTACTGGTTTGTCTTTCCTGACAATCACTGAAGAGGAAAGGAGGAAACACTTGCTTTCATTCAAATAAAAAATAATAGCAAGGATAATACAATGTTTTACATGCACTCCTGGTTAGTGTGGTTACCCTGAATATTTCAGACACTTGGTGAAAGAACACTTGTGTTTTTTAGCAATGGCATTTACACATGTACAAATTGCATTTTATTTCTTCCCTGCTCGTGCTGAATATAGATTGTACCAGGCCACCCCATTTTCCTTTTCCTATCCAGAAATTTTCACTGTGTCTGTTCCACCTGATGCCTCTAGTTCAACTGTTACCAGAATAGCTCCAATTTTATCAGTGCTTCGTTGCCTACTGAGAATGGGAAATAACCCCATGTAGATGGGGTCACTTTTTACAAGTGACATCTTCTATTGGGTTTCGTGACCATGTTTTGGGAGTTGGGGGTGGGAGGCTCCAGCAGTGGCTTCTTTGAGAAGCTGCCAGAAGCTTCCACTGTGTCCAATGGAGTCAGTGCCAGGTGGCCAAGGCAAGCAATGGTGGTAATGCCTCTGATAACATATTTAAGAAGGAAAAAAACACTGCACAGCTGTAACTGTGGCCTGAGACAAGAGGAGTGGGAATATGTGATAGGAACAGCTCTACAGGCACCACAGTCAGTGGAGAAGGAGGGGCAGGAGGTGCTCCAGGCACCAGAGCTGAGGTTCCCCTGCAGCCCGTGGTGAGGCAGCCGTGCCCTGCAGCACGTGGGGGTCCATGGGGAGCAGAGATCCTCCTGCAGCCCCTGGAGGAGCCCACACCGGAGCAGGTGGATGCCCAATGGAGACTGTGACCTCGTGGGTCACAGCTGGAGCAGGATCCTGGCAGGACCTATGGACCCATGGAGCAAGTAGCCCACCCTGGAGCAGGTTTCCTGGTAGGACTGGTGCCCTTGCGGGGGACCCACGCTGAGGCAGCCAGTTCTCTGCACCCTGTGCTGGAGCAGTTCCTGAAGAATGGCAGCCCATGGGAAGGACTTGTGTTGGAGAAGCTCACAGGACTGATTCCCATAGGAGGAACCCCATGCTGGAGCAGGTGAAGGACTCTCCTCTCCCCGAGCAGTGGCACAACCAACCTGTGGCGGACTGACCGTAACCCCCATCCCCCCTCTCCCTGTGCCACTGGTGGGCAGGAGGTTGAGAGAATCAGGAACTACACCTGGGAAGGAGGGAGGAGTGGTGGGGGTGGGAAATGGCCTCCTGGGTATGACAGGAAGCTGAACATGAGCCAGCAGTGTGCCCAGGTGGCCAAGAAGGCCAATGGATCCTGGCCTGGATCAGGAACAGCGTGGCCAACAGGTCCAGAGAAGTGATTCTGCCCCTGTACTCAGCACTGGTGAGGCCACACCTGGAGTGCTGTGTCCAGCTCTGGGCCCCTCATTTCAGGAAGGACATGGAGGGGCTGGAGCAGGTCCAGAGAAGAGCAACAAGCCTGGTGAAGGGACTGGAGCATAAGTGCTGTGAGGAGAGGCTGAGAGAGCTGGGGTTGTTCAGCCTGGAGAAGAGGAGGCTCAGAGGAGACCTCATCACTCTTTACAACCACCTGAAAGGAGAGTGTAGCCAGGTGGGGGTTGGTCTCTTCTCCCAGGAACCAGCAGTAGGACAAGAGGGCACGGTCCTAAGCTCTGCCAGGGGAGGTTTAGGTTGGATATTAGGAAGAAATTCTTTACAGAGAGGGTAATCAGGCGTTGGAATGGGCTGCCCAGAGAAGTGGTGGATTCTCCGTCCCTAGAGATTTTTAAGATGACACTGGATGTGGCACTCAGTGCCGTGGTCTAGTAACCTTGATCCTGCCGTGGATCAAGGGTTGGACTCGATGATCTCGGAGGTCCTTTCTAACCCGTCTATGATTCCATGAATGGTCGGGGGCAGCGCCGAACCTCGGCAGCGGGAGGAGCCGGGAAGATGCCGGTCCCCGCCCTCCCCCGCAGCCGGTCACATGCAGCGGGCGGAGCCGCCCGGGGCGGGCTGAGCCCCGCTCCGTCCCTCCCCCGCTTCCCTGCTCTCCTGTCCCATCCCATCCCATCCCGTCCCGTCCCGTCCCTTCCCGTGCCGTGCCGGCGGCGCGGTGGGAGCGCGGCCGGGGGAGCTGCCGGGGGTGCCGATGGATCCCGGCGCTGAGGCGGAGCCGCTGCTGCCCCCGCGGCGCTGGCGGGCGGCCCGCGGGCTGTGGCGCTCGGCCGAGAGCGGTGAGTGAGCGCCCGGGGCGCTGGGGTGGGCGGCGCTTCCCCGCGGGGCTGGAGCGCTCCCGGGAGCGGGGCGGGCGCGGCACTGGGGCACGGCACTGGGACACGGCACTGGGACACGGCACTGGGGCACGGCACTGGGACACGGCACTGGGACACGGCACTGGGGCACGGCACTGGGACACGGCACTGGGACACGGCACTGGGACACGGCATTAGGGCTCGGCACTGGGACACGGCACTGGGGCACGGCACTGGGACACGGCATTAGGGCACGGCACCGGGACACGGCACCGGGACACGGCATTAGGGCGCGGCACTGGGACACGGCATTGGGCACGGCACTGGGACACGGCACTGGGGCACGGCACTGGGGCACGGCACTGGGGCACGGCACTGGGACACGGCATTAGGGCTCGGCATTAGGGCACGGCACTAGGGCACGGCACCGGGACACGGCACCGGGACACGGCACCGGGACACGGCATTAGGGCACGGCATTAGGACACGGCACTGGGACACGGCACTGGGACACGGCACTGGGACACGGCACTGGGGCACGGCACTGGGGCACGGCACTGGGGCACGGCATTAGGACACGGCACTGGGACACGGCACTGGGACACGGCACTGGGACACGGCACTGGGACACGGCACTGGGACACGGCATTAGGGCTCGGCACTAGGGCACGGCACTGGGACACGNGACACGGCATTAGGGCTCGGCACTAGGGCACGGCACTGGGACACGGCACTGGGACACGGCACTGGGACACGGCACTGGGACACGGCACTGGGACACGGCACTGGGGCTCGGCACTGGGGCACGGCATTAGGGCTCGGCACTAGGGCACGGCACTAGGGCACGGCACTAGGGCACGGCACTAGGGCACGGCACTAGGACACGGCACTAGGACACGGCACTGGAGCCCCGGGCTCCGCCGCCCTGCCCCGGCTGCTCCGGGCGCTGAGCGAGCCGCTGTCGCGGAGCTCAGCCCCGCTGCAGCCCCGGGCTTCGGGGGTTCCTTATGTAATTTTATTCTTTTTTTTTCTTGCTGAAGCGCTGGCAAGTTTTCTTCTCGAAGCCGATGACTGTCGGCGGTCTGGCACCTCAATTCCCCCCCTCCCCACCCCTTCCCTCCCCGGGATGGGATCATCCGGAGACCGCAGGTTCCTTGTTTTCAGGGTATCGCATCACCTAAGCGAACCTTCGCTTCTTTTTTTCTGTTGCGTGTTCGTGCGGTGCCAGAAGCGCAGCGGGGTCTCGGACGGGTCCTGTGTGCCCGAACCGAGCAAGGGCTTTAATCATCATTTGTGACTAAGTGTCACTTGCCGTGACTAAGAATTGCAGAGTAAGTTGGATATCCATGGCAGAATGCATGGAGAAATTGCTAAACTAAACATTTTTTTGCCAATTTCCCTGTTTTATTTTTATACTGTGAACAGTTGTTTAGATTCCACCCCTCCAAAATCTCTGCCATCAACACTAGGCTCGCTGCGTGCTCCAAGAACCTAAAGCTTTTGCTGCCCTTGGCTCCTTTTAACTAATACTGTTCCTTTAAACAACTTTATCTCCAGTGTGAGATGGCATGAAAAAGATAAAGTCTGTGCTGCTTGAGCCTGGCTTGTCTCCTGTTTGTGCTCAGTCTTTCTTCCGCTGTGGTTCGTGTCAGCATCAGTACAAAACTGTGCTGCTGATGATGCTCAGATAAAGGGTGACATTTAAAAATTGCTTGCAGTCTTTGTAGAAAATTGATGCCAGTGGATCACGTGGAACATAAAATTGTCTGGGACTCAGATCAGTGGCATTGCGTGCTGTCTGGAGAGCATCGTGGTAGTAGTGGGACGGGCTCTTTCCTGTTGTATCCGGGTTGTGATTGCTCTCTCCTCGGAGGAGACGGTATGAAGTGCTCCTTGGGACTCTTTCCCTCTGTGGGAAGGTTACGCTAGCACATATTTTTCGTAAATTTAGCCCCTCTCAGTTTTTTATTTTTATATTTTTTTTGCTTCCTCATTTTGACTGTAATTGCCTTTGTTTCTCCCACTGGCTTAATTGCCAGTTAGTTAGTTCCTCAAAGGTCCCTGGTTCAAGTGAACACAAGTGGCTGCCTTTTATTTTTTTGTTATCTTCATGTAGACTTCTCAGTAACAGGTTTTGAAAAGTCTAAGTAAGTGGCATAAGTAACTAATTTAGCGATGTTTTATTTCATTTTGTGTACTTTCACCCCTTGCTCTGTCTTGAACTCTGATCTCTTTGGTATGGTAATAAACACTCTCAGGACAAATTAAAAATGCATTTAATTTAGTTCTCATCTGACTGGAGATTCCTGATGGTTTTGGAGAGAACAAAACCAATCTAAACTACAGTACCTTTATTCAACAAAAGTTAAATGACTAGGATACTGGTGCCTGATTTTTCCAGCTTCACTTGACTGTACACTTTGTCAAACAATAATTTGATTGAATGCCCACTATGTTGCGTGTTAGGGCTTGTCTCTGTGTAGTCTTATGGTGGCAATTTAACTACTAATGTAATCTACCTACTTTAAGCCATTGTTGTGGAGCTTCTA